ATCCTTTGAAGGACTATTTCGCCCCCACCCCCACAGTCGATTACTAGTAATGTTACGTAAGTAAAAGAATACAATACCTTACGGCACAAATAAAATAAAATCATGTTTAGTACTGTGCATGAGGGCCCGTGCATGGTTTCGTAAAGTTTGTATGTTGTGTGTTTAACTAGAGGGTCTAAAGAAGTGTATAATCAGACAGGCCCCTGGATCCCAAAAGTGTACATTTTGTGTATCTTACAAGAGGGACTGCAAGATTTTAGACTGTGTATAGTCAGACAGACCCCTTGGCAAAGAAAAGTATTACTGTCATAAATTTTAGAAGTTTACCTTTCATGATTGGGACTGCGTTATGTCAGAGGGGCTCCGGGTTGTTGCCTCACAGCCCATCTGCCTATCTTCGTTTAATGTTTTGAAGTTAATAAAAAATGTCAAGTAAAGTATGACAGAAAATGAGTTTTGTTCTTAGATACAGACGATTCTATAAATAACTTTACTTTTTATAATAACAGAAAAACTTGATAAACTGACATCGGGAAACGATAAAACTGCTAAAAACTGAGGAACGTCTATGGTCAGTTCAGACATGTCACAAATGCTTCCGTTTTAACCAGTCATGAGAAACCAATCTTCCATTATAATTCACGAAGGACTTACTGCCGTAAGAACGACGCTCAGTATTTAATTTAGAATGTTCTGTGTTCATCTTGATGTGTATTTAGTTTGTTTGTTTTTCATCAAAAAAAGTTCTATAGTAAGCTTGTTAAGAATAACGAAGACACGTAATATATCTTTTAAAATGTGTGCCATACAAAACGTCACATCGTAACTTACGAAGTTGTTTCTCTTTTTTTTTCTTCTCAGTTCCTGCTTCTATTGACGTTTTCTATTTGTTCCTACTCGGCCGAGCAGCCCGGTGAGGGAGGGGAGGAGCCTGAAACCACGCGGAAGGCAAGGCAGTTCGTAGTGGGAAGTTATCCCACTGCTTACTTGCAGTACTACAGTCAACAGCCTGCTTCTTCGAATACGGTTTATAACTATTACAAAAGGCCTTCCCTGACCGAACGTTTCAAGACTTTTATGTCAAAGTTGTTTGGTCGTCGATCTTATGTTCAGCAGCCATACGTCACCCCCCAGATACAATATTACTATAAACCTTATACGACAGGAAACCAGCTTAATATTCCAATCCCACAGGACCAAAACCACTACAACCTCATTAACCCCCAATTAAGTAACAGTTTGTATTCACCACAAGTTGGAGAGTATGAGTCAGTTGCAGTGAATGGGAACAGCCAAAGTTATGAATTGAATTCTTTAAATCAACCAGGAATTAGTGATTCAGAGTTTAATCAGTTGAACTCTGGCACGTACGTTGATTTCGAACAACCACCTAGAAAAAGTTCAGTGTCAGAACCAATAAGGTTTCCAAGCAATTCCCAATACTACAGAGCTAGGACTTATCCAGTCCAAGACTCGTATTCTTCAGGATCTGAGGACGTGTCAAGTTCACAATCCCATAGAACTGGGATTTATCCAGTCCAAGACTCCTATTCTTCAGGCTCTGAGGACGTCTCAAGTTCACAATCCCATAGAACTGGGATTTATCCAGTCCAAGACTCGTATTCTTCAGGATCTGAGGACGTCTCAAGTTCACAATCCCATAGAGCTGGGACTTATCCAGTCCAAGACTCGTATTCTTCAGACTCTGATGATGTCCCAAGTTCACAATCCCATAATGCTTACGTTAGCACTTATAAATCTAGTTCATTGGACTTCAGTCCAGTTGCAGTACCTTCTATTGCCAACCATAGTCCAGTCTACAAGAATCCAGGCGTTTCAGGACTGGAGAAGAAAAGTTACACTGGAAATCCCGTGTATGAGAACTGAGAATATAATCTTCTATCTTGTCTCTTTTTAATTGGAGGATCTGATTTGAAATTCAAATAAAAAAGTTTAGATATAAGCTATTATAGAACTATAAAATATCCTTTTGAAGAGAGTCTGTAACCTTCTTGAAAAATTTAACAAGAAACACTTGTCTTTAAACGTTCCTAAAGTACGATTAACTTTCGTCTGCAGACTTGTAGTTAGTTATGTTGTTTTTAGTATTTCGCTGTTAGTTTTCGTCTGTAGTCTTGTCTTGTCGTTAGTTATGTTGTCTTTAGTATTCTAGGGTTAGTTTTCACCTGCAGGTCTGTCGATAGCTATGCTGTCTTTAGTATTCTAGGGTTAGTTTTCACCCCTACCCTGTCGTTAGCTCAAGGCCGTTTTTACGCATAAATCGGTATCAGCAACAACGAAATACGATCAAGAATATAATATAAACGTATATACAGAGTGTTATGTGCTAGGGAAAACTTAGTCCGACGTGCGTGTTAAGACTAAGAACATCACACTATCTGGTGAAGAAGAACCTCTGTGACGTGTCTGTAGTTTTATTTCCTTCTTATCAGCGGTGGGGTCATGAGATCGCCCCATGGAACGTTTAAAACTTTACAATAATTTTAATATTATAAGAATAAGATATCTTCAAGTACGAATTCCGTAAGACGACTAAACACTAGCTAGAAGTAGAAACACTCAAGATATCTTAAAGTTTGAGTCTATAATTCAGATATCAATACGTTCTATTATTTGTGTAATGTTTAACGCCAGTCTTCGTGTCTGTAGTATAGTGATTAGCGCCAGTCTTCGTGTCTATGGTATGGTGTTTAGTACTAGTCTTGGTGTCTATAATATAATGTTTAGTGCCAGTCTTCATATTTATTGACTTACATTAGGATTCGTTTCAATATTTTTACTGTTTTATTTATACAAAAGAATAATGGCTTTTGGTCGATAATTTTTAATATAATTTATTGTTGTTTATTGTTTGCAGAGCTTAGAACCAAAGTAACGTCAACAATAACAATGTATTCGTATATTTCGAAATGACTTGTTTTGTTTTTCTTTAAATATTCACAAGCCGTTCAAAGGTTATTAATTATATGTGTTTTGGGCGTCTTTAGAAAGCTGCATTTTATTAATATTATAGTTAATTTTGGTCTTATTAATTTAAATTAATACATTTGTTTTTCTTAATAAATATTACTGTAGGTAATTGTCTATGCAGCAATATGAATAAATAGGTTTGTACGTCATGTTTGTTATCAGTCCATGTTATTATAATGGTAGATAAATCTACTGAGAACAGATGTGTTTGTCTCCACAACCTGCCTTATAGCGTCAATTAAAGGAGTTACTAAATGATATGGATGTATGATACTGCTAGCTCCAGAATAAAGCTATCCTCTGACGTGTATTTACTTTGTAAAGTAAACGAAAAACTGTCACTCACATCTGTCACCTGAACCGGATGTGACGAAATAGGTTTATTGATAATATGTAACACTTCTCTGAACATTTACGATTAAGATTACTTTTTAGAACACATAGTTCAACGCGGATATAGTTAAATTATACACGGATTCTTATTTAGATTTTGAACTTATAAACAAACTTTTGGAAATTTTAAAAACAGAAAACATACTTTGTTTTCGATGCACAATATGATCAATAGGAAACCAAATAAACAATGTTATTTTACTTTATATTCACTTTTGGCCTTTGATAATAAAGATACATTGGAAAAAAGAAAACGTGTTCTTGACTTTATGGAACCTTCCCCTGGATCCGCCACAGCTTCCCACTACTTTCATGTGAATCCCTCTCTCTCTCTAAAGCTGTACGCCGCAGCTTCCCACTACTTCCATGTGAAGCTCTCTCTCTCTAAAGCTGTACGCCGCAGCTT